TCTTGCCACACCCGGTGTAATATTTCATGGCGTTTGTGTAAATTAATGTGTTGTAGATGATACATATTGTTTACAACAGTTATTGAACATGTTTTAGGATGCAGGCTCACATAAGAGCCCTTCGTAGCTCCAATCACGAAACGACTGCGCCATTCAGCGTTAGCTTTTCCGCAGACGGCGTATCATTCTCCGGATAGCATCCATGACGAATGAACACCCTGTGTCCAAGACAAGTCATTTTTTTGCATAGACAGAGAGGTACTAGATGTTACAGGAAGGGTTAATGAGCGAAACTTTCGAATGGAAATGTTCAAGTGTTCGCATAAGTTCAGATGCTTCCATACCTCCATATCAACTCCAGACTAACATGGACATGAAGTCAATGAGGAACGTTACTGGGGCAAAAAAGCAGAAAGCGTCATAGAAACACTAAAATTTTTCTTGTGTTGTCGGCCGTGGTATGGAGAGACAGAGTGCTGCCGGGAGAGGGAAAACGCGAGAGCACGTCCCGTGAGATGACGCGAACATCACATATGATGCGGTTGGTAAAGATGACAGCGCTGGCAACGAAGGGCAAGACTTTAGCGCCCTTGCCGCGCACTCTGAGTCGGGACAATGTCGCTCCTGTGCTTGGTGACCCCTTTTTTCTCACAGAGAGATTGGCTCTTCGCACCCGTGGCTTCAACTGAGCATAGCCTAAGCAATGCTTGACATCAATCTGAATTGAAGAGTTGGTGGCAGACATTAAACAGCTTTGCATGATCTAAATACCATCTCTTTTACACGTAAGTCGAGAAATGAGTCAGCACTGATCGAGGCTGTTGAAGGCATCACGTTCTCTATATCTCTTTCGTTCTACTCAACTTGGAACCAGTCCAGAAAGGAAATTGGTACGGCTAGGATATATGGTCGGCTGTCCAGATCCTCGTACTTGAACTGCGATGTCATGCTCGTCAGTGAGCACAGTCAATGTGCTAAAGACTGACGCGTTCAAATGGCAAAGAACCACTTGTAGGGAAGCGCATAGTAGATATCTGTAAGGTATTCCTGGAAGTGAGCGCTAATTGTGTCAAAAAGCGCATGCTACTGATTCCAGCTTGCTTCCTGTGCAAAGGGTTGTTCGTTATGTTTCCGCATTGTGATGCAAAGTGCCCTGTGATTCACATGATCATGGACTTGATCCACACTGAGCATAGATATCTAGAGCGTCATATAATCATCAGTGGTTAGAATAAAATGTTCTAACACAAATATGTATATGAAGACATTTATAGAAGGAAAGAAGATTGCTGCATGAACTGCGTCCATCAAACGAAAAAGGGTGGTCCGTCTCATTTATTTATGCATAAAGCGCTATCTCCTTTTGTGCGAGTCCAAGCGTTGCTTGAAGAAACCACTGGAGAAGCTGGGACTTGTTGGATCACCAGTGATGCAGGAAGATGTACAAGCGAAGCTAAACCACTTCACGCTAAACGGCGAGGGCACCTCAGTGGGCGATGCCGGAAGCAATAATGTGTAGTTCAGCTCTGGAACAGGGCGGTGACGGGAAAAATGGACAAAGGTGAGCAATGGAAGAAAAGTGGGTGTGCAAGATGAAGAAACCGCATTAGACGGGGCCTGACCTGAAAATGTGATGGCCGTTAAGGAAATGCTGGATTCAGAATTTAATTAACGCTCGATTATATGAATCGCTAAAGATTAGCAACGCAAAAGGTGCGCTAAGCATGCTCGAATAGTGGAGGCTCGCCAATACGTGATCCGGCATTTTGTGATTTAAATACTGTTTATGAATCACTCTCCGGCTTACCATAACCGAAGGCGGTGGTTTGCTTATGTCTCTCTCTTCACAGCAAGATGCATGGCGACGAATTTCTGGATCAGTGGACATATTCCTGTGTTCAAAAGCTCGGGCAAGGTCTTGACTTTCTTGAAACATTTGACTCCACTCGCCTGTTTTTCAAGGCCATCGATTCGCGAGAAACTCGGCAAAGATGACAATAGTTTTTGAATTCCCTTTCAGACTTACTCAGCTTGCTTATCGCACAAATCGCCAAGTCAGCCGTCACGCTAATAGCACATATGCAATCCTGCTCCGACGCGAAGTGGCGAAGTGCTTCTTAGCTCACGTTTCAAGGCAAACTCCTAACATTCCCATGGGATAGCCTCGCTGCTTGATTGACTATGACACGTACGTCTGGTTGACTCTGGAAGCGGCAGGTTACACACGGACAGTTGCGATAGCTTAATAAGTCTGTCAAGAGCAGTCGAATTCGGATGATTGAATGGGCAGGTATGCTTTCACGACGCGCCAACATCAATCCACCTGCTCCTATTCGTTAACTTTAGCCTTTTATATCACGAATGAGAAACAGTTAACCTAAGCCTCATTTGTCTAAAAGACAGCTTTTTTTTACTTCTTTATGTTTTTTTTCTGTTTTTTTTTTTTTTTTTTTTTTTTTTTTTTTTTTTTTTTTTTTTTTTTTTTTTTTTTTTTTTTTTTTTTTTTTTTTTTTTTTTTTTTTTTTTTTTTTTTTTTTTTTTTTTTTTTTTTTTTTTTTTTTTTTTTTTTTTTTTTTTTTTTTTTTTTTTCTTTTCTTCTCCTCACTAATAATAAATATGAAACGTGATCATGAGGACAAATTTTTCAGCATGGCGAATGCTTTTCACCACATGAGGAATGTTACAAGTCTGGACCGGGCCATTTGTCCCAGATCAACATTTTCGCAGATTAAACACTCATGTCGAATAATCCGAAACTTTTTGTGACAATTCGTGATGTTGAATATTCATTCTGTAACTAATATCCGTAACAGTTTCCCAAAAATCTGCAATTACAGGGACTCTCTCTTGGGACGTTGAGTGCGACGCATTTGTCACCCTCACGCTCATGAAAATCCACTTTCACCCTTTGGAAGCACGGAAGATTGCTGACAGAACAATTGCATTGTTGGATGATTTCTCCTTATTTCTCTTTTGTTTTGCTGAACTGTTTCCGAAAAAAGGGAACCCACCAGAGCGTTTCACGTGTCATAAATTTGGGACTATACGATCCTACCCTTGGCTCTTACGGATACACCCCCTACACCGCCTTCAAATGATCCATGGTAATCGTTCCCAACTCCCTCAAAAGTTCGCCTCGCAAAGGGCACATATATAACTCTGGAATAGCACATTTTTCAGCTGTTTTCCTACACTTTATTATCACCGTTGTCCGAAATATATCATTCCACAACCCTCCTGAAAAACCAAATGTGAGCTCCTCTTCCACCATAGCAAACGACCATATTCATATTTTCCATGGTCATTTACACCGAGGAATCCTCTGCAGTGGCTTTCTGATACCCACCGATGGAGTTTCTTCCGAAACTCATGACTCGGTTCTTATCTTGATCATTCCTTCCATTCTTCGTCTTTTCCTTGTTGTGTCTTGTTAAGTCCTAGTTCACGTCTAGGGATGGGACACGGGCGAAATTGCAAGACTTTTAGAAACTGTCGCTTATCTTTAATCGTCTTGTGGTTAGTGGTTGATTGTATGGCTTTAGACATGCTTGGATTCGCCGAAAGTACCTCAACGTATACCGTGAAACCGTTTGTGCAGCCGGATCCCACACGGGTGCGGTGTTTTGCTAATAGTTTTGATATTGTTGATATTTTAAGTCGGTCCCTTGATGTTGTCCATGCGTTAGTTTGTTTAGAAAGTGACTTGGCAATGGAACGCCAAAGAAAAAACTCATGACTTCGTGCTGTCTGTGATAGGACTGGAAGACCTGGTAGAACGACGTAGCAGCGAGACGCTCGGCGCCCATCCACCAGACTTCTTCTGTCGTCTCTGCGCGGTAGTGATAGTTCGACGATCGGCTGCTCTCGAGGCTCATGTCCATTCAGCTCAACATGTGCTTTGCTACGTGGTATGTAGCTGTACCAGTCGCTGAAATCTTTCTGAAATGCATATCCTTGTAAAGTAAGTCATTTGTAATGTTTCAGCACAAGTACCATCCGCAAACAATTATGGAACTCGATATGCTACCAAAAGAAGGCGGAAAAGAGATGCGCCGACTCATCGCCCAGCTGCTGAAGGATCATCAACCTAAGGAACCTTATTGCATTCCTATTTATGATCCCGTTGGTGAACAAGAGAGAAAGGGTGTTGTTGCCCTGCAAAAGGCTAAGGATAGAGAGCGTCAACGTGCTCTAGAAGAAGCCAGAAAGAAAGCTCAAGAACAAAGGAAAAAGATGGACGAAGAGCGGAGAAAGCAACGGGAACTCGAGCTGGAACGCGAGAAAGCAAAGGCCGCTGAACGAGCTCAGAGGGAGAAGGAGTTCAAAGAGCGTAACGAACGCTTGTTGAAGGAGAAACTTCGTGTGCAGAAACTAATAGAGGAAGCTAAACGAAAAAGTGAGGAAGAACGCAAAGCGCGGGAAGCAAAAGAGGCAAAGGAAGCTGAAGAAGCTCAACGCAAACGTAGGCACGAGGAGCTTCGAGCCCTCCTCGATCAAGAAAAACAACGTCTCAAAGCTTTGCAAGAGAAGGAGGCTACACAACGTCGTCTCATAGAAGAGAAAGACAAGTTGGAGAGAAAAATGAAGGAGTTGAAGGAACGTGCGGTTCATCAGCAAAGACCGCCCCCACCTGAGCCCAGGCATGCCTCTCCTCAGATGGCAACACCTCCTGTTGGAGTTGTCAATGCCCCACAGTTGCGCTCATTTCGTGAACCGCTTCTAGGACCGGCACCACCTAACGTGCATCCTTATCCGGTCCCACCGCCTCCAGAACATTTCCAAGTTCCCCATCCTAGTGTCCGAGAAACATTAGAAAATGTTGGTCCTAAGCCAATGTTTCCGGAATTCGTACCGGTTACCAACAAAGTTCCCATCTACAAAGGAATGGAAGAAGCGGACAAGGCGGTTCGTCTCGCATCACCGCAGCCACCTCCTGCGGTTGTTGAGCGACCATCACTACGGGAAAGAAAAGTTGATCCGTACATTACAAATCCGAAAATTATACAATCAAGAGACCAGCTTGTAGACTTCCGTGAGTTTATTAATCGCGTTCTTTTTATTCGGACCTTTGCTTTTCGATGATTCGGTAATCATGTCCTCCAATTCCTTTTAATAATTGTGTCTCAATTACTAGCAGTAATTAGTTGTGTGTTCGTGGTCAGTTCGGGAAATGTGAGGTGTAGTCGCGAACTTGGGGCTTTTCAGTTTGGAGGCAAGGAGCAGAGCGTATTCCTACCAAAGAGTTGCCCACAAAGTTCAACGAGAAAGCGACGGGCATAGAAGGCGCACTTGGTGTGGACTGCTTATATGAGGTACTTGACACTTTATTACTTCTGCTTTGAAATTTGTGAATGTAACCTTCATCAACTTCTACTGACAGTGGGAATCAGGGAGAAAGAACCACATGGCGAATCACTCAACGATCAACATAACCCCTCTGATGATTCCAGCAGGGTCTAATCCACTCCAACCACATCTTACCATGAAAGTACCGTCAAATGGGGTCTAAGGAGGTCTTTGACTACTGTTGACACATCAGTTAATGATTACGCCGCTCTCTGAAGACAGCGAACACGATGGCTGGAGGGCGGGGAGGTTTTGGTGACATCTTTGGACGTGATTGGTTGGAAGGCCGCGGGAGGTGCTCTTAACCACGCCCCTCTGTCCGCTGAGGGTCTGGTTCACCAATGACGTCTAATGCTTCACCACATCGCTCCATTCTCTGCCATCTCACTGCCTTTAAACTCTCACTCATTCCTCAGTGATCCTTCCTTTTCCCATCCATAGCAAGTCAGATCATTTTCTACATTTGTTAAAGAAGGGTTCTTAGTTCGATCTACGTTATAGAACGGTTTCGTCAGTGCAAATTATCTTTGCAGGTCATATGTGCGGATTGCTCCGATTTGGACACATTCTACTGTTCAATGTGTGGAGTCTGGACTACCCCGAGCGATATGTTCAAACATCTTGAAACCACCGAACACAAATTAGGCATACCTGGTTAGTGATGTCCAAACTGACTAATTTATTCCTAATGTTAAGATGTTATTTTTCATATTCTTCGCTTTGTGAGTACCTGTTTTTTAGTTCCGCAATTACAAAATGTACCATCAGACGGTTGTGTCGGAGACGAACACTGTTGTGAGATCTGCCATGCTTTCGCAATTTGCTATCCAAATTTGGAAGGTAAAACATATCTTGCTTTGTATAACATCGTATTCCTTCATATTTTATTTTCGTCCAGATGGAGAAGCCACCCGGCGTGGTCTCTAATCGCTTGCGTTCTCTTTTGGATCGTGCGACAATTGAGCGAATATGGCCTGAACACGTGAATGTTTTGGATCAATCTTGGAAGGATGACGGTATGTGCGCTGCTGAACTTCTTTTAAGTGTGTTTGTAAACGAATTAATCAATATTTAGGAAAGACAGTGGGACGAATGGATGTCCCACCACCGGTGTCAAAATCGGCAATGATGTTTCCTGAAGATCAGCCGAGTAAAGTAATAAAGAAGGAGCCGAAAGATGACGATTATGCTAGTAATGGAAAGCGCAGTAGCCATTCAAAAGACAAGGACAAGAAAAGCTCAGAAAAAAGTGGCAGTCGCTCGTCTTCAGCAAAAGACAAAGAAAAGGACAGGACCGACAAGGGAAGCAGTCGTTCGTCCAAATCCAACGACAGGGACAAGGAAAAGGAGAGGTCCGATAGAAGCAGCCATCGTTCGTCGTCATCGCGTAGGGACAAGGAGACGGACAAAAAGAGAGAAACAGACCGACGAAGGGAAGAAGGGTTTGTTTCTTGTTTTTTTGTTTTACTTATTTCAGGCTTTTTCATTATGTATTACATATTGCTAGCCATAATTTCTTCCGATTTAATTAGTTACAGTGCTCACTCAAGAAAGCGCTCATCGTCTCCCGAGGTGATCTCTTTGTCTACGTCGAAAGAGATGGGAAGCGACTCAGGGTCACCAGATCGAAAACGTCGTCGAAGCAAAAGCCCTGAGAAGCGTAGTAGCCGCGATGATAAACACAAAGGAACTAGTAGTTCTAGCAAAGAGATTGATCATACCTCTAGCCGTTCTAGTCGCCGCGACCCAGAACGTCGCAGATCTGTGAGTAGGGATCGTAGTCGCAGTAGGGATCGTTCTCGTAAGGCACCATCCGGTCATAGTGGTAGCAGTCGTAGACGTAGCAGGAGTCGTTCACCACGTGATCCCTTTGCGGGTTCAGGTATGTCCTGGGAAGAAACAGCGGCCGCATTCTTGGCGAAATTGGGAGATTCGCAAGCTGCAGCTAGTGTGCTTGATCCTTCAAGGGAACGTAACTTGGCAGCAGCACGAGCTAGAGAACTGGAAGAGAAGCTGGAACAACTAAAACAACTGGCGAAAACACAGCCGTCAGCTCCTGTGTCTGCTGTGGTAGATGAGCTTCTGGAAAGTAGCTCAAGCCAGAGAAGAGCTCCAGTGCAGCCTGTAGAAGAAGTCGATGAGAAAGCCCAAATGCGTAAATTGCTTGGTGTACTTATCACAATGCAACAAGAAGCCGAAAGGAATGGCAGGCTGGATGAGTCGCTGGTTGACAAACTTTACAGAGAGGTGGGTTTGAAGAAATCCGTGGAATCCTCCAGCGATCAGCTGTTGGCTCAGCTTTGCTCCCAGATATCGCAGGAAGATTCAAGGAGGAAGCCATCCATCGATCTGCAGTCGTTCGGCATCGGTCTTCAGAATCGTCCAGAAACCCCACAGATGCAATCAACTCCGTCAATATTTGGAGGAGGCCTTCAGACGCGAATGCAGACGTCACAGCCTTCAACGTTCCAGACCCTTCTTTCCGAGGTCAAGCGTTCATTGGATAGTTTCAAAAAACCAGCACGTCCACCCTCACCGCTTATCAAGCCGCCATTTGTGATCACAAATCGAGATGAAGTGTTCCCGGAAAGCGAAACGAGGTCATACGTCTTCCCCGGTGCAGACTCGCAAACATTCAACCGTCAGCCCGAGCAGTCGTCTAGCGCTAATACATCTGAAGCCAATTTGACCAAAAAAGAAAGGGCAGCTTTGCGTCGTAAGCAATTATTGGAGGAGGCTGAGAGGCTGAGAAAGGAAGCAGAGGGAGAAGATGAAGAGGAAGACGATTGGGATTGCCTAGTCGAAGTGATCAACCAACCTGCACCTACTTCTAAAAGCGGCACTAGTCCCACGAACAATCGAGCTTCTTCTTCCAAAAACAGTAATAGTCGAAGCTCGAATGGCAAGTCGCAGGAGCAGAAATCTGACAGTAAGAAAGGATTCAAAGCAAACGAATGATGGAAAGAAAACGCCTGCTCCTCTCGCGCACCGGGTCAAACCTAGCAATTTCGTATGCTCTACCCGCGACCACTGTCAATCCGGTCAAAAGATGCCACTGGCTAGGACAATTCTTCCTGATGGTAAGTCCACTCAGGATGCCAAGGCTACGGATAAAGAGAAGGAAAAACAAAAAGAGAAAGAACGTGAAAAGGAGAGGGAGAAGGAACGCGAAAAGGAGAAGGAAAAGAAGAAAGAAAAGGGCAAAGAAAAGATGAAGGAAAGAGAGGAACGAGCAAGGGATGCTGCCGAAAAGAGAGGCCTAAGCAGGGGTCACCATGGTACCCCCAGCGATTGGCCTCAGCCCTTCCCTCAACCTCTTTTGGGTGTCAAAGTGAATACACCGCCAAAAATGCAGGAACAACGCCATCAACACGAACAACAAAAGCAACAGCCGATATCTCAACCACAACAAGTTCCGATACCAGTAAACGATCCGGTCTATTGTAATCAGCCTAACGCACCTGTCTATCCTAATCAGTACGCTCCCTATCAAAACATGCCCCCACAGCAGTTTCCGGGTCCACAGGTTTTCCATGGTCAGCCACCGTTTATGGGTCCACCCCAACCGCAGCCATTATTTCCCGGTTTTGAATTTCAACAAATGCAGCAGCAGCCGTTCTACGGGCAGCCACCTTACTACGGTTGAATAGGTCGTGAAGCGCCGCAATAGTAGGTTGACCAAGTTTTCAAGCGCCGCTGGAGGCGTTACATCGCTTAATTAGCTTTTGCATGTAATCCACTCTATTTTGTCGTGGTATATTTTGATCTTTTCCCAAGGCGTGTATATTTTTAGAAGACTGTTGTCCTCCCCTATACGAGAAGTGTTGTTATATAGACATTTATTTTGCTATGTGCTAATTTTTGTAACTGAATAAAGTACTTCTTATCTTTAAATATCCTCTTTTCCATTTTCTTTCATGGATCTTCCCACTCTGCGAGGATACTTGCTTCTTTGGGTAACAGTTATCTATCTGATTGAGGATCAGCTTCTGCTGGCATACACTGTCCACTGTCTATGAAATGGACATTGGCCAAGCCTTAATAACTGAGCACAAGCCACCGTTTTGGCTGTGTTTTATGCTTTTAGCTTATATTACGCTTAGCGACTTTGTACCCATTAACTACAGTAGCTTGTATGGGTTGTTATGGCAGGAAGCGGCGTTTCCTGTAGGGTAATGGTAAGGTAAAACGCTCGGGGAGCAAGATATTTCACTTCGGCGCTAGATAGGTGAAGTAAATAGAATTGACTGTCAACGAAAACATGCCCACCTGAGGAGGAGCCTTAACAACTGGTTTGGTTCGTTGGGACAAGAAGCGACTTATTCGCTTTTCGCAGCGTGAACTTTTCAAGCCGTGGGCAGGTCCACCACTGATTTACACATTGGCACGTTTTGGTGTTTCTGGTCGTGGGATACCGACGCGATTTAACGATCGCATTTATCGCGGTAGACATGTACCCCGCAAGTTCCAACAAGACGCATTTTTGGAAGGTCGAAAGTATGAATAATTTGGGGTGATTGGTGACTAAGTAAGTTAGTTTACATGATAAAAGCACAAACAAAGTGGCTCCTCCAGCAGAAGTTTCGATTGAGTAAGCGCCTATTCGGGGATACAAAATGGATAGATGATGGTCTTGTTGGAGAGTGTTCGTACATGTTTTTTTCTACTAACTGGGACTTCTCGCAACTTGACAAATTTATTGTTCAGAACGTTTTGGCCAAACATTCAAATGTCGTTCAGGTGCTATACAAGTAGGGTGGGCACGCCGCATTTTTTGAACAGAAATGTATGTAAGTGGGACTGCTGCCCGCTACTATACTGTCACGAGAATCGGGGAATTCGTGAGCCAGGGGAGTGTAGCCAATCTAGGGTGGGGGTGAGGGCAGTCACTTGACATGCGTGAAAAGCTGGGCGTGCCCACCCCACTTGTATAGAGCCGCC